AGCTAAAATTACGAACACATGGAATGAGGTCTACATTACTCTGATCCCAAAAGAAAATTCGGACATAACCCAAATAAAAAATTGTAGACCAATTTCATTACTAAACGCAGGCTATAAAATTTTGCATCAATAATTGGTGAAAGATTAAAAAGCTTTTTAAATGAATTCATCCACCCAGATCAAAATGAGCTTTTAGCTAAGAGACAAATTAGAAATAATGTCAGAATAAGTATGGATGTACTAGAATATTATGAAAAACATAATGATAAACAACCAATATTCCTGGACGCGCAGAAAGCATTTGATAATATAAATTGGCAATTTATGTCGCAACAATTAAGTCTTATGGAATTTGGAGGGAAATTTATGAATATGATAAAAGCAATTTACACTCAACAGAATGCAAAAGTATTGGTTAATAGAGATGTGACAGAAAGTTTTAGTGTACAAAAAGGAGCAAGGCGTGGTTGTCCCCTCTCCCCACCCCCCGCTCCTCTGCCCAGCCAACCGTGGTCTCGTGGGCCATGTAAGGCACATTGCAGCGGACAGCCGCGTCCTCCGAGTGCCGGCAGTCCTGCTGGGTGATGTTCTTGTGCGGGCAGCTCCAGAGAGACCTTTCAGGGCCCAGGCACTGGACCTCGCTCAGGTGGATCTGGCCCATCCCTGTCCAGAGAGGGGAAAGTCAAGAGCAGCCTTCCTCGCACAGACACTGCCCCCCCCCCCCACCTGCTGCATCCCAGCTCCTAGCAGGGCTGCTGGGGAGGCTGCTGTGTGAGCCGCCCATCACGCCTGAGTGGCAACTGTGACACCTGCGGCCCACTGGAGAAGCCTGCCTCAAATGAGCCCAGAGTGGCACAGGATGATGTGGCTGGTGCCCCCCCCCCCTCACCTTGGCCCATGCGTGCTCCCCTCAGGGCTTCCTTGGCACTGCCAAAGCCCAGCTCACGGCAGACCACACTGGCTGACAGCAGGTTCCAGCGGTCGTCACAGATGGTGCCCCACTCGCCATTCTTTAGCAACTCCACCCGGCCCTCGCCAGTCTTGGCTCCCCCTTTCAGCCGGACCGACAGCTGCGGAGGAGCACAGGGACGGTCAGCGCCAGGAGCTTCAGTGCCCAGCCGGCCTTCCCCGGAGGCATCCTGGGTGCCAACAGTCCTTTGCTCACCTGTCGCTGTGGCTGCTGCCCCCGCCTCTTTTTCTGGGCATTTCCTCCAGCAAAGAGGGGGCCCGGCACACAACTCACCACGGCCGGCATGCCCCCCTTGCAGGCCCCCGTGACGTTGCCCTTGTAGAACTCGAAGGGACAGGCCGAAAGGTGCACCTCGTCCCCGGCACAAGCGACCGAGTGCAGGCGGAACTGGTGCTGCTGGCGCTGCAAATATAGCCTGCAGGAGAAGACCAAGGGGCGGCGTGAGCCACGCAATTTCGCACAGGCCCCCTTGGGCTTCTGCCTCCTGCCCTGCCCCATATATTCCATGGGGGATGGAGAACCTCAGCAGGCAGGCCCCTCCTACAGCAGTGAAAAGCCCCGGTGGCACTCAGGAAATGCTCATCATCTGCTCAGCCCCAGTTACCCGTTGGTGCCCTACAGACCACCCGCTGGTTTCCTTGGCATCAGGCTCGGCAACCCCAGGAAAGCTGAAACACGGAACAAGGGCAGCCGTTCTCTCGCGGGTGCCCACCCCATCAGTGCTTGGCCACATGCAGAGCAGCCCTGCTGGACTGGAGCAGGGCGGTGTGGTGCGAGTGGAACCCAGGGGCGTCCTCCCCGCCCAGGAAAGACCACGGCCAGCTCTGGCGCTGCTTCCAGAGGGGCCGCTCACAAGAAGCTCCAAGGAGGGAGAAGAGCTGCTCCTCTTGGCTCCTTCGCGATGGGTCCGGATAGTGGTTGCCCCTCAGGGCAGTGGGCTCCTTGTGCAACCTGCGTGGCTCTGGCCAAAAGGCTGCCACTCCCAAGCACACTGCACGATTGTCATGCAGAACGCCAGCAGTTCAGCCCCGCTGCCAGTGCTGCTCCAATAGGCACACCGGGGGAGGGAGGGGGGAGGGCTTGATGCAGGGTTCAAAGCATCTGCGTGGCAGCCACCAGCAGCCCCAGAGCGGCCTCTCAAACGGAGCAAAATAGGCCAGTTTCTGGAAGGTTCCCTGGGTCTCCAGCTTCTCAGCTCTTTGGGCATCTATGCGCTCATGCTTTGGCCAGTTGCCTTGCTTTGCACAGCGGGAGAGGCAGACGGTAGAAGAGCATCATCATCTGGATCTGGGCCTTCTCCTCGCAGCCCTCCTGGCTGGCAAAGGATCCCCGCAAGGCGGACGGAGGCCCAATGAGTCAGCGGTCAAACTTCCCTGGGCAAAGCAGAGCACACTGGGGCTCTGTTTAAGGCAGCTGCCAGGTGGCCGCCCGGGGGCCTCGCAGCTACTCCTGCAAGGAGAGACGCCCTGGTCTCGGGACAAGGCCGGGGGCAGCTCTTCCAATGACCGCAGGAGCCTCCCTGAAGGGCTTCTGTTGCCGCTCCCGAAAGCTTCTGCCTTTGAATAAGACTGGCTGGTTGGAAAAGGATTTACGGATGCCCCCAGTATCCGGCTCGCGCTCCACAGGGCCGTCCCAGTCCGGAAGCGCCTCCACGCAGCCAGATTTTCAGAAGCCCCCACGCTGCATGACAGCCCAGAGAGGCTCTGGATTCCCCCTGGGGGCAGCAAAAGAGAGCCCCGGGCTCCTCTGGGACCCCCAGCCGGTGTGTCTCCCAGCACTGCCTCCAGGTGTCACGTCAAGGACTTCAGGGAAGTTCATCAGCCCCAGAGAGGGGCCTATGCTTTGCCCTCCCCCAGAAGCCACCTGACCTCCAGAAGCCCGGACCAAACGGCCACCTTCCCGCTGTCTTCTGGCTCCGGCCCCTCTCGGCGTTTGTTCCCAGGGGAGACAGAGAGGGAGAGGCTGCCCTTCGTGGGGATGTTGACCCCACGGCTGAAGAGCCCACAGTACGGGAGGCTTCGGCCGAGCAGTGGGTTGGACTGGATAGCATCGTGGACCCCTCCCCATTTCCCAGCGCTAGCCCTCTGCTCCGCCCACTCGTCAGGAGGACCACTCCCAGTTCTGGCCTCTGGGGGCGGCCTGGGTGCTTCCTGCCCAGAGGGAGCCTGGACCTTCCCTTTCGGAGATCTTAGCGAGAGGCCTTTTGCTCCCCAGTAGCCCACCCCTCAGAGAGGCTTTCAGCCAGGAGTGAGCGAAGCCAGCCAGGTAAACCACGGACCTCCTGCCCACAAAGCCAGAAGCCTGTTGGGGGGGACACCAAGGGGTGCTTTTGAATGAAGTTGCCCCATTCACAGCTGGATCTCCCACCCCAGCCAGGAGAAGGATGCCCAGGGAAAACTGCCACCTGACTGGGCTGGCTTTCTCCTTTGATCTGCCTGGAGAAGGGAGGGAGCCCTGAGGCCCTTACCCCAGGCAGCCTCTTCCTGTCTCCAGATCTGCCCTGCCCTCTGGGCAAAGGCGGCGGGGGGTGGGGAGAAGTGGTATTCAGCTGGTTCACACGAACAGGTAGCGGAAATTTGGCCTGGGTTGTTGAACCAGTAGTGGCCGCTGGCTGGCCTTGCCCCGGAGCTGCTGCCCACTCGCTGCCTGCCTTGGCTGGGCTGGGTAATGCGTCATTCCCTGGCTCCGGCCTTGCCCTGGAGCCGCCACCCGCTTGCCCTCTGCCTCACTTACTTGCCTTCCTTTCCGGTTGCGGTGGTGGTGGTGGTGGTGGGACACGGCAAGGCTCGGCCGCCTTTTGCGGGAAGCCGCAAGCCACCAGTTGTTTTTGGCTGCCTTCTGAGCAGCTCTCCGGCACAGCGTCCCTCCGGTGCGGCAGGCAGACTCCTGGCCAGGTCTGGTGGCCAGCCGCAAATGGAACCGGCAAGCAATGGGGTGCGTGTGTGCAGCCGGTGCAAAGAACACGATAGCGGCGACGGTCACGGGAAATCACTGCTGTTGCCGCCCTGTTTGTGCCAGCCATGCACGCGCACCCCATTGCCTGCTGGTTCCACTTGCGGCTGGTCCCCGGACCCAGCCAGGGGAACCGCCTGCTGCACCAGAGGGAGGGTGTTGCAGAGGAGCTGCTTGGGGGCAGCCTCCAGCCCCAGTCTTTTCGGTACGTTGACGTGGGGGGCAGCACAAAGGGACGAGCAGCCGCAGGAGTTGCCTTCCGAGCAGCTCCACTGCGAAGGGAGGCAGAAACGTTTGGCCTCTCCCTGCCGCAGCATTCGACGTGGCTGATTCTCTCCTCCTTCTTGGGCTCGGACACACAGAGCGGGGGGAGAAGCAGCCAGGTTGGACGCTAGAAGACTTGGCCGAACCTTTCTGTGGGTTCTGTGGGTGCGGTTTGGATGGGCGTGGCTTTGTGCCCCTCCCCCCCACCTTGCCGTAAGTGATGTCGACTCGGTCACGGCCACTCCGTCACATGACCCCCCCCACTAAGCCACGCCCACCAAACCGGTAGGGGGGAAATATGAAGCCCACCACTGAATGCAAGGTAACCATCATGGGAAGGTCACCCCCGGGTCAGCCTCCCCTGCAGAAAACAGGGAAGGGGGACGCGGTACCCACCCTTTGAAGGTTTCCAGGCTCCCCACAACCCTGCTTGGATGCAGCCAAGCAAGGAATCCTGTGGGCTCTTACTTGTAGAAGTTGCGGTTGGCCTTCCTCTCGGCCGGGAAGCCCAGCATCCCGCAAATCACACGGCTTTCCTGACTTCCCCAGTTCTCGTCGCAGATCTGGGCCCAGCTGCTTTTGTGGCGGACTTCCACGATGCCCTCTGTGACGGGCAGCGGACGCTGGGCCTGGGACACCACTGGGCGCAGACGCACCTCCTCCACCTGGTTCTGCTCTGCCTAGAGAGGGGGAGAAGACGTCACTCATGTTAGCACATTCACTCCTGAGGCCCCGGCCAGTCTGTCTGTCCAGAATGGTTGGGGGGAATTTTCTCTCCTCTCCTCTGCCAGGTGAGCCTTCCTTCCGTAGCTCCATGGCCCTGGGCTCCACTCTCTCTCTCTCTCTCTCTCCCCCCCTCCTCCCCCAACTGTTAAAGGGCTGCTCTGTTTAGGGAGAAGGAGCTTCTGCCAAAAGGCTAGACAGAAGGGAAGAGGAGGTGGGACTGCATGGAACAGAATGCCATGAAGGGCCAGGAAAATGTCTAGCATTGCGTGAGGAGAAGAGTCAAAATGGAGGATGGATGAACTGGGGATCTGGAAGAGATTGTAGAAAATGCACCTACGAGAGCAGTTCCTGCAAAAGGAGGGAAAGAAAACAAGTTTGATGTTAATACCAGGAAATGTGTTGGAACAAATAATTGGGCAGCCCATTTGCAAGATGGGCCACTTTCACTAGGCCTTGGCAGCTAACATGCCACCCCCCCCCACCTCTTCCTTCCTCAGAGTCAGTGGTGGAGGGGAGGAGGAATGGGACTGGCATAATTTTATCTTGATG